CGGTATGTCTGCGGATTTAGAACGCTCGAATCCGGGTTTCGATACCCGCGGTGGGCAGAGCACAGATAGCCCATCGTGTAGCTTTGTACTTAATTACGAACAAACAATACTTCTTTCCATGTTTGCCTGTTTTTATATTCCGTAAGTTTTCTTTACCTCTTAAAAACTGTAAACAAAAATATACATCAAATATTTTATTAGGTTTTTATTTCACCATTTTGATTTGTTTCGTAGTAAAGAGAGCTAAAGTTAATGATCTGGTTTCATTATGACAGAAGTACTCAGTCGAAAGCCCTTTTTTTATTGTAAGCCTACTCAGGACGTCAGTGACGTACATGTTTTGCGTTATTTTCTATGATTCACTGTGGTTTATAAGTTAAGGCTATTAAACAGACAGTAACATCTTATACAAGTAACAAATGCAAATTTTTTTAACTATAGCAAACAACTCTGTATTCTTTATTTGAAGAATTAAAACAAAACTACAAGTTTAATGTTATTAATTTTTTACTGTTTTGTAACAAAATTCACAGTCAGGAAATATTTCTATTGTGTTGTATTGTATGTGTTACACAAATATCATAAGTAATCTGATTTGTGATTACAGATGAAATTACTTTTTTTTTTTTACTGCGAAGTACTTACTTAAATATGACGTCCGATTATTTGTCTGTGTTTCTTTGTGCACGTTGTTAATGTATAAAACGAACTCTGATCAGCAATTTTTTTTAATCGTAGTAGAGTACTCATATTTTCGTTCCATATTTCTAATGGTAGGACTATTTTAGCTTGTGTAACTGATATAATTTTATCTAATCACTGTATGATTTCTAGCCCCAAAAATCTAGAAACAATAGTTTGTGTGATAGCTTATAGTGCAAGCTTTCACGTGTCAAGTAACAAGAAAGTTAGTTTTCAATTATTTTTTGCTCGTTTATAAGCGGATTAATATCGTATACATATGGAAGCTGTCACTGAAATAGGCAGATACTTTTGATAAATTTAACAAATATAGCAATGAGGGGAATTACTCTTTATCCTTTTTTATAATATATTACCAATCAGTTTATGTATATGCAGCAACGCAAAGTCGACTTGGTACAGTACGTTTCGGGATGTGGTCGTCCTAATAAAATTTATTATTGTCTAAGTTACATGATTAAAGGAGTATAAATAACAAGAGAATCATGTTTCATAATATGGGTTCATTTTAAAAAGTTTATAAAAATTTTAAACAAACGTTGCCTTATAAACTTTAAAAATACATTTTGACTCATGCATTGCCAATCTAATGAGCGATGCCATCTTAATCCAGAATATGGCACGACCTGCAATTTTGTAAGTTTTATATTGCATATCTGCTATTGTACACAAAACAAGTAAAATATAATTAGAATGTTTAGTGCTATAACCTTAAACAAGGCAAACATGACTGTTATAAAATAACGTAAGTTACATTTTTATGTGAATAAGGTATTTGACGATCCTCACTGTGACCTGGAATTTAAATGATTGATTATTGGACCCATGTTTATAATTGGACATTTCAAGAGATGGCTATACATTCTTACAGTTGATAACATGATATTTTACTTCAATACAGCGTATAGTCAATACAGACAGAGAGAACAGTCTGGCACTTATGTTGCATGTTTGAAATCAGAGTTTGGTGTGGACATGGGGCGTCTTTGACGATTCCTTCAAAATAATTGTTTCCAGAAACCTTTAGAGTATGTATGCGTGAGTATCATATATATATACTCGACGAGACTGAGGTATTGCGAAAATAAGTCACTCCATTCTGTCAATCCCATATTCTTCGGGAAACGTGTCTACCAGCTTAGCGAGAGTTTTCATCAAATACGCTGGAGTTTATACAATGAGTCGGTATCCAGATGTGGTTGCGAATATCTGATTAAGTCACGAAGCATGTAGCCTACGATTGTAGCTAGCCAGAATCAACAAATTGAGGTTATGTGTTTATGTTTTAGCCGATGCCATGTCCAAGTGTTCGAGCATCTGTACTATTATATATAAAGCTGTACATAGCATTAGCCAAATAACCAATCACTTGCGATTCAGATAACACGATACATATAGCTAATCTGTATAATACAGAACTGGAGGATGTAATTTTCATCATTTCATAACAGCATTGTTAGAAACGAATATAACTTTATGCCATTCATCTCATCAACTATTTAATTTTGTGACTCCTCTGACAAAAAGCGTTAGTTTAATAGAGGTCATACCCTGCATTATAATTTCAAACTTTGAACTGTAAAGTTTAGAAAAACCCAACCGTTATCGTTACGGGGTAGAATATGATTCAAAAATTCCCTTTAAATATATAAGTACACTTTGACATTGATATATTTTTCTGCATAGTAACAATACTGATGTTAAGAATGTGGCTTTATTTTATAAATATTCCGTTCTATGTGGCTACACGATGTAGTTAGCTGCTAAATTACATCCTACTTCAAAGTACACCCATGTTGTTGTTTTCTTACATACTTGAGGCATATTTCTCTGCATGATAAACCCTCTTGCTCCTTCCTCAAATAACCAATCTACATTATAATTCAGAATGTGGCCCTCTTATTTATTTTAAATATGTTACATTCTACTTCAGGATATGATACTTTTTGTTTGTTTCTCAAATATACATGTTGCACTTTACTTTCTGACAGGTTCCTTTGAAATTTCTTAAATAACTAGTTTACATTATCATTAAGGATACGATCCTCTTTATTTCTTTTTAAAATAACTAGGTTACTCTATACACCAGATATGGTCGTCTTGATCCTTTTTGAAATAGCTAAATTACACTCCATGCTTCAGAATAATATCCTCTTGTTTCCTTCTCAAATGGCTGTCGTATACACTGCTTCTAGTGCAGAGTACAGTTTTGCTCTTTACCTGAGACACAAAAAATACTACCATGTTCTTAAGTAGAGTGTAACTCAGCTATTTGATAGAAAAGAGAGTAAGAGGACCATATCCTTACGTATAATGTAAGGGGGCTATTTAAGAAGACAGAAAAGGGACAACGTGTTGACTTTCAGTGTAGTGGAATTATTAACTAGGCAAAACAAGAAGGTCACATCCTGAATTTGAACGTAGTGTACTTATTAGAAAAAGAAAGATGTCCGTATTCTGAAGCAGACTGTAACGTAACTGTCTGCGACAGGTACAAGAAGACAACATCCTTAAATAGACTGTAAGCTACAACTATATGAAAAATAGACAAAATGGCTATAATTTGAAGCAGAATTTTACTTAGCTTTTTGAAAAAACTAAAGAACTATATTTTAATGGATAGTTTTACGAACCTATTTGTGAAGGGAAAAAAAGAGCACAGAAAATGTTAAGTATAAGGAACTATCCGAGAGAAAGGAAAAATACAACATCCTGGAGTAGAATGTAAGTTAGCTAATTGAGAAAGAAGGCTATATTCTAAATTGTAATGTAACATAGATATTCGAGAAAGAAACAAAAGAAAAACTTCCTCGAGTAATTATGGAAAACAAAAATAATCGTATCCCGAAGTAGAGTGTAATCTACCTATTTCAGAAAGAAGCAAAGAGGACAATATTTAAGATATAGTTCTTCTTTTTTAATTGCTAGATTAAACTCTACGTCAGAATGTGATCCTCTTACTTCTGCCTCAATTCACCGTTAGTTTTTTTTTTGTTTTTTATTCAAATGGCTAGGTTATGCTTTACCTCCGAATTTTGCTCATATTTATTTCTGAGATAGCTATATCACATTTAACTTCATAAAGTGATTCCCTTGTTTTATTATGTTTTAACTACATAGGTTACATTGTATTTAGAGTATAACTTTATTGCTTCTTGTTCTGATAGTTCGATTGCTCGTATTTAGATGTTAGTCTCTCATCTCTATGACAAATGACTAGGTTATCTTCTAAGTTAGAGTTAGATCTTCATTTTAAGACTTTTAGTATTCTATTACACGTTTATTGTTAGAATGATCATTCAATTTTTATCTGTCCTACATCCAATCAATAATTCAAGAACACTAGAAGTTTGTGCAACTTTCATTTCATATAATGAAATGAATATGTAACGTTTTTTTTCTTTTTTTTAGGCAGTGTCTTTTAGATGATGTAAATACATGTGTGAGCTTGTGCTTTTATAATAATGTAATTTTACTTTGTCAAAATGTATACGATTAGATATTTATGTTGTCTTAGAATTTGTTATCCAATTAATTTGGATTATCGCGTGAATGTAATCACAAATTTCAAAGAAGTTAATTTAGTTGTTTGTTTTAGACCAAAGCCACATTGGGCTATCTGCTGTGTCCATCGCGGGGAATAGAACCCCAAATTTTAGCGTTGTGAGTCTGTAGACTTACTGCTGTCCCATTGGAGGACAAGTTAGCTTAAACAATCATGTATATGTGTAATCGTATATTTGTAATAACTTCATTAAAAATTGGATACATATATAACGAAAGATCTGTAATACATTCACTCTGATGATATTATATGTAGCTGTAATACTTCAGGTATGATAAATTAAAATGTTTGACATTTCATTTTATATAGTCAAGTGTAGGTAGTTCATTTTATATAATGCAAAGACGGGTGTTTCAAGTAGGTTCACATAGACGATAATATGTATGGGTTAAGGTGATTAAGTTTGTAGGTTCAATCAGTGTAAGATTACGCGTAAATGTTATGATATAGAATGTTTGTGTATATTCTTAAGGATGCTTATAGCAAGTTACTTATTTAATAAGCGATACTGTAATCATGAAGTTAAAAATCTGTTATGTTTATGCTCGATTTCAGAATCATGATTTTAAAGATGAATGTAAATTTTAGTTCATGTGTTCAAATGATTTATTATAAACTATGCATGCTTTATCTACGTTCCATGTGATTTGGTCCTAATTAGACGTTTCTTTATTTTACAGGTACTCTACAAGGTATAATGTTGATGTGATATAAAACCCATCTGTAACGCAAATTATACAGAAATAAATGTTTATTAAAAACCACATTGGTACAAAAAAGAACATTTCTCATTACTTTCTTCAATTAGGAAAACACTCTTTCGAATTCACACTGGAGTTCTTAACAAACTTCCATTTCAAGTTAATTTGGAAGCCAAGTTGCCTGAAATAGAAAATCTTCCTGAAGTCAATTTTGCAGATCTGTCACCGCCACTTCAAGCTGATCTGAGAACCGAAGTGTCAATTCTTCCTAGTGCAGCTTTTATTAGCCTGTCTCCCAGGGCCTGAGGTTCTAGCCTGTGATCTTTAAAACTTCACAACCTAGGGTCTCAGGGAGTGGGGAACAGGGTTCATGTGTAAAAACGTCCTGAGCATTTGCATGTTCACATGAAACCAACTCATGGTTAAGTTTTCTCTAAATACATCATTCATATATCACTAGTAAATAATATACTGAAAATATAACGTTCACAATAAGCAGTCCAAAACATTAACAGATGGATCATGTTAATGAATTCAGAAAATGAATATTACCGATTTCAATACATACATACATATATAAGGTGTTTAGGAATCCAAGAGATTATTAACTTTTGAAAATGTATTTTCATATATTTTATGTTGTTGCTAAATATAATCGGTTTTAGATGTTACATTTCTGTTACTATTTATTTCTCGAATGGCTTATAGATAATAAATATCTTTAGATAATTAAGTTTTTATTTAAATATAATTCTAAGGCGAGTGCTTAACATTAAGTTGTAGACTCTAAGAGACTGGATCTGAAATTTGAAATCGTATGAGATTAACTAAAACTTAACGTTATGCTTTTCTAACATACAGTTTTATATATTACCTTCATAGTCTCTAAAAAATAAAAAAAAGTTGTAAAATAATTCAAAATCAACATTATTTCTTCAGTCAGTGTAAAGTGTAACACGCTGTGATCCGAACAAGGTACACGTTGTAGCAAGTTGTTTACTTGACGTGAAAGTTTGTACTTGATACACTCTTGTCAACAAGTCGTCTGTAACAGATCGCGATTAAATAAATGTTCACCCGTGATCTCGTCAACTATGCGTTCTAGTTTCTTATGTCCGTGTCTATACTAGTAATTTTCAAAACTATCTATAGCCGGTCTCAGTTATACTTTATTAGTCGTTTACGATATTAAATATTTCACATCTAATACCTATTATTTATTGTTTGATTGTTTCAATTTTTGCTCATATGCTTAATACAATCTTGTATTTATCGTTGATGGTAAGATTTGTCACTGCAGAGCGCACCTGGTTGTTCTGTTCCATGTCCAGAGACTATCAGAGCTCTCTGTAACTGTTAAACTATTTTTCAGTAAAGTCTCTAATAAGTATATTTGTAACTTTCTTTCTAATTTACACTTATGGAATTAAGATATGCTAATCCTTGTGTCCACGTGATTCTTCACTAGGTCTAAAAAAGTTCATATATATATATATACAAATAATAAAACGCTCTTATTTATTCGGTACGTTTCGTATTTATAATCTGTTTCAAAAGAAACGAAAATTTTGGTTATGCAGAATGGTATACATCTATAGCTGGCTCCTGTAATACAATCTTGAAGTTGAAATATATTCAAATTTTATAAAACACGCAATGCATGAATTGCTTCTACATTTTAGACAGTGTGGCTATACTAAATTACAATCATGTCTCAGTATAGATCAGAAAACATTTACATTTGGTATTAGCCCTATGTTTCCTACATTAAACAGACGAACATGGTTAGAAATTAGCTTCTAATTACAGTTGTGCTTTTGGATTTACCGTTAATTTTGGGTGTGTAATAAAGCTATTTAAATAGCATTCAGGTGGGCACAAAACTTGTGATTATTGTGCACGTGCCTTAAAACGTCATCGTTTACTTAAAATACTAAGAAATACAGCTTAGGATGTGACAAAAACAACAGTAGAACAAGCTAGAAAACAATAAGACCTTGTCAAGAAGTTATTATAGACTTCGGGCTTTTACAAAGAAACAAGTTTTGTAATATCTAAGTGATATTTGTCATTCCATTACTATGTTTGGAACAAAAAAAGGTATGTGATAAACAACTTATCCTCTGTAACATCTGTTCAATCACCTGTATATTATGCACTGTAGGATAGCTTACGATATTTATGATATAAGCACTACATTTTGAGCTTAAAGTTTACAAAATAGAATATTTATTGAAGAGATGAACTTATGAAAACACTTTTGGTTGCCAATGCATTTCTGAATTATTACGATAATAACATCATACGAAACTATAAACTCAAACAAACAATTTCGTATCTGGAAAAAAAGAGAGATACATAGAGAGAAACAGAACACATAATATTCTATTACCAACACACAAGTGTATTCTTAAAAGGGTTGTATAACACACATAATACACAATAATCATCACACCATGAACACACTTAAAAAAGGGTTGTTACTTCATTTATTGCCAGAGAAATCGTGTACATAATGTGAATTAAAAATACCTTATAAAACAGTAATAAATGTTTGTACTGCTCCTACATTATATCAAAGTAAAGATCCGCAAATGTATTTGGTTGCGAGTCAGTTTCATCAAATGACTCTTCTGTGTTGTTATTTTCAAACGGCTTACTTCAGTTCACTATATCTCCAACTATATATTTTTTAATTATATTCACATATTAGATATTCTTTAAATATCGACATGATAGATAATCTTCTTCCTCAGTTATATCGGTAGTTTCATCTACATTAATGAATGTTAAAAATTGCAACTATGTTTTCACTCATGGAATGCAAGCTTAGTTTGGGATTAGAATAATAAATCAAAAAGAATAGCACAGAGAAGATCATTGGTAGGCAGGCATCGATCGAGCTGAAATGTTCCATATTACTAACCGAAGTGTATCTCAACGATATCTAGAAGACGAAATAGCACGTTTCGAAAGAAATTAGTCCCTGACCTTCTTTAGACTGAGGAAGGTCTGATATATATTATATCTACTCAATCTCTAATGTCGTTCTAATTCTGCTGATGTGATCTTTGTTCAATCTTCGTGGTGATTGAGTACAGTTCTTGTCAATGTGCTTTTAGTTTTGCTTCTGTGTTTGTCGTTAAAAGTTGCTTGTTGATTTGGCTCGGTTCTTCTCACATTATTATTCCAGTATTGCTGACGTGATCTTTGCCAATTTTTGAGCTTCTAGATTTAGCTGAGCTGTTGTGGTATGATTTATCCCTGCTTGTGGTTTAACACCTGTTTAAGCTTTATTATTTTTTTCCGAAACTGAGCATGGTTTATAGTGTTAATGTGACTTCTTGGGTCCTGTTCAATGGTATGACATATCACGAGCAAGTCCTACTAAGTTGTGATGAGTTACTTGTATTGTTTATTTTTACGAACATTTCCTTTCTAATGGTAAGATGAAAATTTTATTAGAAATAAATAGAAACAAGTCAACAAAAACAACTTTTACAAGCAAATTGCAATAAAGACTGAAATACAAAATAAATAAATAGTTATAAACTTTTTTTTATTCTTTTCAGTTTAAACATGGTTCTCTGGTATAGAAACTAAAGCTTATAGTGATGCAATGGAAGGAAGAAAAATGTTGCTATCCATTCTATCATACAAGCATCTGTCAGATTTAATTTGTAGTTCTTTCACTAAACTCTTGAACACTTGAAGAATGGGGATTTGTCATTTTATAGTCGACATATCTGTAAATTTTGTTTTACTATTTACTATTTTCAACTTGTCAAACTGAACCCGATAAATTAAGAAACACGCGCATAAGTTTTTCTTCACTTCAGATACTGATATCTGAGCTCAGCAAAATTTTCCGATGAATAAACAAACATCCCACAAAGATCTTTCTGGTGGATGAAGTCTAGGATGATTGAAATGTGATAAGAGTGCTCAGAGTTTATAAATGGAAGCACAAGGTTTATGTAGTGTTAACCTTGACTTTTCAGTTCAGGTGAAGGGGTCAAACGTATATCGTATACACATAAACTTTAATCGAAGTACTTTTGTACAGTATTACTACTGTCCATACATAAAAACGTAAATTTAAGTACGTTTTTATAGTATTATTATTATTATACATGCACTTACATGTGCACCACACATACATGTAAAGAGTAGCATTATCAACATAAACACGCTGTATTTACATTCTTGAGTGAATAGGTTCTGAAATGTTGGGGTAGCATAAACTAGTTTGAACCAACAAAATGAGCGAGGAGGCAGGAGCAAGGTGTTTAGTTATTAAGCAATAACACTCCATCAGGTTGTCAAGAGATACCGTTGAGGCAGGTGGTCTCTTGCGTGAACAAGAAATCCAATTTAATTATTCTTTAGAGAATCCAAAGCAGTGGTTTTTAGGCACTATGTAGCTTGTATTGGGTGTATATTGAACTGCAGATAGATACAAAAATAGATTTAAGATTTGGGTCCCGAAAGACCCAGATTTTTCAAGACGCATCCATAAAGTTCATTAATTGTTGCGCAGCTTGCATTAAAACTTTCCCCACCTCCAAACCTGACGGATAACTTTGATATATCCACCATTTTTGATCTAAAATTTACACCCATCTATCGATTTATCTCATTATTATTTGTTTACGTTTTAATATTGATAATCAGAAGTAAAGTATCGTGGGGACAAAATTCTCTATCTAGAGGGGGTGTGGGGGTCAAAATGCTAAATGAGAATTTAACATTCGCTTTAATCCTCAAACAACCTTCATCAAGCTTGCCATACCTGTTTATTTTAAAAAAGATTCTGTTGCTCTAAAGTCAACAAAAGGTCTGTAAGCTACCTCTACTGTACTTCTATGAAGGTCGAACATGACTGAAGCCCAGGGGGCCTGTATTAACTCACACCCACCCATTCGCCAGTGGATAGATATCTCCTGTCGTAGATTCTAGATTTAATAGCTTCGTGCTCGTGCTTCATCAAGATAAAGAACTTATAGAAGTAACACTCTGAGAATGCTACTCAGAAATATCAAAGTAATTGCATGTTGTTCAGGCTTAACAGAAACGTCCTTAAATATTTAAGTTCTGAATTAGTACCATAAATTAAGGTTCAATGTTTTAAAACAAGAATACAATGAAAACATAAACCACACTCACCATGGAGACAGCTTGTAATACCCACTCTACGCATAGTTTTTTTCCTCTGATGATATGTTTTTCATCTTTATACAAGATACAAGAAGAATTGCGTGCGAGAAAAAAGCTAATAAAATAATTCACCGAAAGTCGACAGAATTAACTGGTAAACTGTCCAAGTTAATGTCCAGAAACGAGGCTTGGGAAACGGAATATTTCGTTCGAACAAGACTAAACGAATATCGCATTCACTGCAAATGTACTCTTTTTAATTTTTGAATATTTTTTTTAAAAATATATGAACTTATGTAGATCACAAACACAGTTTATTCCAATAAATCACAAAAACAACACAGAGACTGAACACAAAATATCAAGTATTACAATGGTAAGTTAAAAAGAGAAAATAAAATAAGTTTTAGGACGTCTATAAAAGTGCAATACATATTAAGATATTTATTTCATCATCACTAGAGTCGATTTTATCAAAGTCTAGCATACGTTGGTAATAACAGGAAAAAAGCATACACCTTGTATGTTAAAACTGATTGTAATTCAGAAAAGTAACATGTGAATAACAACAAATTTAGATTACAAACTATATCCTAAACAATACATTAAAATACAGATATAACGGTCATTTTTAATAACCAATCTTAAACAATACATTAAAATACAGTTATTAAGGTCATTTTTAATAACCAATCCTAAACAATACATTAAAATACAGATATTACGGTCAGGGGGACAGGAATAGGAAAAACGTTCAGATTCTCAAGTGCGAAAAGCTACGTAATGTTTTCGTTATTATATCTGCGCCCCCTGTGGCTCAACGATAAGTCACAAGACTTCTGACCCTAAAAACGGGTTTCGAAACTCGTGTTTAATACGGCACAAATAGCCCATCGTGTGGCTTTGTGCTTAACGACAAACATTATATCTGCAAAATGTAGCCACGAATTATATTCTAATTATTATGGAGAAATAATAACAATAAGTATGTGTAGAGAAAATGTTTGTTTAGTAATTTACCAGAGGTAAGAATTATGATAAGAGAACATAAGTTTAGAAATATAGTCAAAAGATTTCATGTCTTATACACATTTCCGAATATATATATATTTATATGTAAATATATATAAATATATTTGCAATTAAACAAAGTGACGCCCGCCGCCCACAAAATACACTGTTCAAACAGATGTCGAACTGTAGTATCTGCAGGGTGTAACAGCTCCTAAAATGCCACACCAAAAGCAGTTTTATAAATACTGTATGAAAACAATAAGCAGGTTACAAAGAGGGCATAACTTCTGATTAATAACACAAATATGTTCATACCGCAGGTGGTATTGGTTATTAGGAAACTTGTATGTGTAAATTTCAAAGACAACTCTTTCAGCCACGTGTTTATGTAAATTAAACTACAAAGTAATAAACTCGAACTCTGACAGGCAGTGTTATGGGGTTCGTTTCCAAAGGATGACTAAGCTTGCGGCAAACAGTGAGCACGCTTAGAATCACATGATAATTGAAAGGAGTCATTTCAAAATTAATTCTGTGCATTAATGTGTTGTTAATATGTTTCTGCCACCCGACGCTTTCCTTGTTAATAATTTCTAGCAATATCAAAAATGATATCAATTTACACAAAACCTTCTTCACAATTAATTTTTTTTAAGGAGATCGTTTCCACTCACTTATATGGTGTTTCCTATTTTGGTGCTAAATTTTGATTCAATTCATAATCAAATTTATTTTAACGATATAAAATAAGGTCGTCGACTACCTGCACTGAAGCACCTTAACGCGAAGTAAGCATGCAACACTTTTAAAGTATCGACTCATTCTTCACATAATTTGTTGTTTATACGTTTTAATATATGATAAAAACGACCATCGAAAGAAAATTCAAGTCACAGATAATATCGATACAGACATTATATAAAAACAAAACACACCTAATCTAACAACTTCACAGCTGCATGGCTCGGTATTATTCAAAAAGACCACAACAAAGATTTTATAAAATTTTTTTAGTTAGAAACTATATCAGCTCCATTCTTCGGATATATCCGCACGATTTCATATAGACTTAAATTATTTTTATGTAAATTTGAAACTTTCTGTGCCCTCTATAGATAATTCTCCCATCTGTTTTGCTACAGAATTTCAACACGACAAAAAGTTTTTATCTGCACACCCCCTAGATAAATGCATTTCATCTTATTATAACTAACCGTGAAGGTTTAATTCTGCAAAACCTTTCGTTACTCTAGAAAATTTCATATTGTTTATCTTTAAACATCTGTTTTGCTACAGAATTTCAACACGACAAAAAGTTTTTATCTGCACACCCCCTAGCTAAATGCATTTCATCTTATTATAACTAACCGTGAAGGTTTAATTCTGCAAAACCTTTCGTTACTCTAGAAAATTTCATATTGTTTATCTTTAAAGTTTCAGTAGGCCCCATTAAACAATTATTTCCAGCATTTTCTGGAGTGATTAAAACTGTATTTCTTATTACAAAATTTAAAGTTTTGGTTATTCCAACGCATACCTGCAAATCAGGGGTTGTTTATCAGTTTTGAATGGTTAGTTTAATATTGCTTCTTTGTATAAAGATACCTTACAAGCTGTGGTCGTTATGAGATTGTTATAGTTGGCTTCTTATTTCAAGTAATCAAATATATTTTAGTACTTGTAAACCAGAAGGTGTAAACTATTCAATACGTTAACTGTCTTATAAAAAAAATATCATTTCTGGTTTAAAAAAATTAAACTGGACGCTTTAAGTGAGCTTATGACGTCAGAATGATACTTATCACTATCTACAACACAGGCAAGCATTTATTACCTTATGCACAGAACTGATATTACGCTGGATAATGTGTTAACTTAAGTGCTTGATCAAGAGAAAACTCAAATATGTAAAGCCTTAAGAACGTCTCATTCTCTATTCACTAGTCGTAAATATCAAACATCTCTTGCCAGCCAGATATAACTGGTAAAAAAAGAAAAAAAATCATTATAATCTTACTCCCAAACCCTTTCACAAAGAGTAGCAACAGAAGAAGGGGTAGCAGCTGGTCGGGGTCGGTTAGAGACAGCGCTGTACGGCAGATGTCTGAATCATGGCGACCAGCCTAATGGTTGGTTGACAGAAAATTTTTCCTTTCTAGCAGATGCCTGCAGGGGTTCAGAGCGCGGCCGCAGTTCACATTGTTGGCTGACTCCTTTTTCAAGCAGGTTCGATAACGAGAAGCTTGTAGAGCCGTTTCCTTCTGCATTACGTAGGAATAACGTGATAAAGCTTTAATGCCAGAGGGTTTGTAAAGCTTTAACACTTCTGTTCTCGTGAAATTTGGGGATATCACGTCGTTTTTGGTATGCCGTTAACGAAGTTTCAATTGTTTAGATATACTCTAGATCACAAAATAACTCAATGTTATTCCTGTTCATGGCCAGATTTCTGTGTTTGAAAACTTTATTACTTTTAATCTTAGCAAAAGTACCTTCCTCGTAACTCTTAAAGATATTTTTTTTTTCATCAAAGAAGACAAGAATTACAATAGGTGACGATAAACTTCCTAATTTCTTCTAATATTACTGAATGGAATATATTTTATCAAATAAGTTTAACGTGAATTTTCGCTAAAAACATAACCTAGTTATCCTAACGCATTAATAACTGAGATTCAGTAAGCAACACAATAAATAAAAATAATTTCACCATCTAAAAATATGATAAAACTTTTTATTTCATTGTACAATATGAAAACAAACCCAGTTAAATGCCAATTTACTAATATTATTTTAAAAAAATCTTAAACCAATGGTCATGAAATTTAATAGCTTACTTCTGCTAGAATGATAAGGAAAATAAAACTTATTCTAAAATTCAGAAACAAAACTTAAGCTTATGTGCAAGTAACACCAATGAATTTTGACACTGAATCAAAAACCAAATGCTATATTAATCACTCAACATCGAGGTTGAATATAACATCAAACATAAAAGGGTATACGTTATGTGTTCCGCTTAAGTCACAAAAAAAAAGTCTTTCGAATACCTAGCTAGGTTTTAATGTTCAGAATCTGATAAACATAATTATTAAAATTGAGTTTTCACCTAAAACACTCTTGCTGCTCCTCAATATGGGTAGTTCATGTGAACAGGGGACAAATTTCTGGTTGATATGGTGTGACCCGGGGAAAGTTAGCAGGCTGTACAGTTCTCCCCAAAGATGTAGTTCTCAACCATACAACCTACTACCTCACACCGAGAACACCCCTTGATGTAACAATGGTGACGTCCTCACCTCCCAGCACCAAAAAACACCCCTTGATGAAACAATGGTGACGTTCTCGCTTCCCAGCACCTATAAAAAAAAAAAGAGTTTGAGTAAAGTTAGGCCACTAGTAGTAAGGTATTCCCGATTTTACACATTTGTTATACGTATCATATCTGTTCTAGTTAGTTAAAAAACAGTCACTGTAAAGAATAAAGAGGTTATTTACAATTATATGTAAGAAACAGTGTGATACAAATATCGAATAAAACTACCGAGTTAAACCTAGAAATATATTCAGACGGTATAATAGAACTGTGGAAACGTTTGTAAGTTTTATTTGCTCTATGAACGGTCTTATTACTTACACTTTCGGGATACAGTATTAACAAACACTATTCATTGTAGAATTTTGTATAATTCACTTGAATAGTTTCCGTTAAACGTGTCGTTCGCGTTAAAACCTTATAATTGGTATTTTTTACAATGTTGATACAATATACCACGTTATGTTCATGATTTGTAAAATACGATGTTCGTGTAATAAAAAAAAAGAACTTATAATAATTACTTATTAAATTAATGTTGAAATTTAAAATTATTAAACATCCAATTTTGCCACTATCTTGCAAAATTCCTTGTGATGTTCGTTTTCAAGATTTAAACAAAAACAACATTACATCCGTATACTTCCAAAAATATGTTTAACGCAGAATCGGTTCCCATCCGTATACTTCCAAAAATATGTTTAACGCAGAATCGGTTCCCATCCGTATACTTCTAAATATATGTTTAACGCAGAATCGGTTCACATCCGTATACTTCTAAATAGATGTTTAACGCAGAATCGGTTCACATCCGCATACTTTCAAATACATGTTTAACGCAGAATCGGTTCACATCCGTATACTTCTAAATATATGTTTAACGCAGAATCGGTTCACATCCGTATACTTCTAAATATATGTTTGACGCAGAATTCGTCTCAGATAAACATTCCCATCATGTACCTCAGAAATCAAACAATTTTTCAATCAACAGATTACTAGACGTGACACTAAGATGATACTTGTAAAACGTATCTATATTTCACAACCAACTTGATTTTTCTGAATACTAAATCAACTTCGATTCATCTTATGGTCCTATTTTAAGCGCAATAATTTTGTTTGTACTTCTTACTTTTATTAAATATTCACAAATATTTAACCAACTACAAAACTACTACAGGTCTGTTCATATTCTTTACGTTAACCAACAACACAGTTCAGGTGTAACTTAAACTCACTGATGAATGAGTAGATAAAAGTCAATGATTTACTTCTTTAGATTTCTTTAACTTTTAATCAAACATCGCCCTAAGTAACATAAGAGCCACTCTTTCTAAAAATTAATATTATGTGATTCGGATTTCTTAAAAAGACATGGAGCCCCTATAGAGCAAACAATTTTACAGGATGTTTATAAAACAAAAGTAAGGGAAAGTTCAGTACGGTTAAGAATATATATTTATTCAGTGCAAAGGAATAGTATCTTATTCACCAATGGTTTTGTAACCCGCTGAGCTGTTTCTTACAACTGGTTGAGCCAGTCCCTGCCCCCTAGACCTGTGGACAGACAATAAAGTAAACAACTGTCTGCCGCACAAGGTAGAGGAATAAGTACAACTGGCCAGAACGGCTCTGACTGGACACACAACGATACTTCTTATTGGTCGGAATACTATAAATGGTTGTCCCTTATTGGTCAGTGCACCACGCAGTCAAGTACGGCATTGTATGTAAAGAGAACTGTTTATATCCTTTATAAGCTATGACAAAAGCCTAAACGACATAGATCTAGAACACAATATAAAACAGTAATGATCTTCCTTCGTGATGTCATTGGCTCATCCAAAACGTTGTAAACTGAGCCCACAAAAATATCTCAAGCATGATCGGCCTCTCGATAATGACGTTGACAAACCTCCATCACAGCCTAGACCCATAGAAACGAGCTTGTGGCTGCAATAGTAGTAGAACACAAGTTCGATTCTACGGGTTCAGGCGGCAGGGTGAACTTCGCCCTCAGGCCAGGCCGCCCATCGTGGACGGTCAGATAATACCTAGAGAGAAAGATTGTGTGAAAATAACATAACTAGCACTTTACCTATTAGATGTGGTTCTGTACACGGACACTAGTTGCCCTGGTTTCTTGTAGACTCCGCCTCACCTGTCAACAAACGATGAGTGCTTAGTGGACCATAATTACAGACTACAACCACTAATCTTAAACACATGAATTACACCAGCCAATAGCTTAGTTAATTCAATTTACGTTACTACGTTGGTCTTTATTTTATTATTATTTACGTACGCACACTGCACACACACAGTCAGCTGCTTGAAGCTGTAAAATGCATTTCCGTTTCTCTGATTGTAATCTTTACATGTTTTTAAATTTGCATAATTAAGCCAAGTGACAAAATAAAAATGTGTGAATAAGTTTATAATTATGTTTATTGTAAACCAACTGGTAACTGAAAATATCATGATACAAAAGTTACATTATCCTGCAGTTACCCACGAAATAATGCTAATCAAATAGCTACTATTGTACCATCTTAAACCACCATACAGCAGCTGTGCGTAATTCTACTGCCATTTAAAACAATGTCAGTGAAAATGTTGGCCATAGTGCGTGACGTACTCCCACCAACTGCATATACTTGATTTGCAAAGTATTATTGAAGATTAAGTGAATCTTTTAAAATATATCTTCAAATTAATGTTTTCGAACTGTTTCCTTTCGTTATCTTTGTATTACGAACATACTGTAGACGTTATAAATTCGACAGATAGTTAAATTTTTAAACATTAAGGTTTTACGATATCTAATGATAAAATAATTATTTACATTAGGGGGGGAAAAAAGGATGTTGGAGACACAAATAATGGAGAATATCTCAAGAATGATACAGATTATATTTCTTCGTACTTGTTTCAGAATTATTTACATGATGAAATTTCATCAAAGAAAAGGTTGTATAAAGTTTACTTTACCTTAACAGGGACAGATCAATAGATTAGTGTGATATTATACGATTCGTAGGGAAAGGTTTTCTAAAACTTATTTCATAGTCCTCTATCATTACTCCTAAGATTGTATAATTTGGTACAGGTGAAACTAATGCACATTTCTTATCATACATGTACATAAGACGCGTGTTATTTTTATTGTTTCAACAACTGTGTGATTTCAAGCTTTTCCGTTTTTGGTCTGAAGTTCTGAGAGTGTAAAATGCGAACAACTGGAATTTTTTAGCGTTATTACTCTGTCAGGTTATCTTCCTAACTTATCCCAATTCAGTCGCGTAATATTTGAAAATCAAAACATTTCCTGATAGATTAAAGTGTTAAGCCATTTAAAAACACAATGCAAACCAAATTTCAATTTCATTCAATCTTACTGTTTGTTTGGTTCCTTACACAAGTGGGGTGAGATTATTTCACCTCACAGGTGGGAAGCAGCTACTTAACTACGTTGTAGCCTAGACACAAGATGGAAGACAGCCCCTTAGCCACATAATTATGACACAGGTAGGATGCAGCTACTTAAACCACATTGCGGTTTAAACCATATATTGACTTAGACACAGATAGGAAGTGGTTACGTAACCACAAAGTGGCTTAGCTACTGGTATATAGTGAATCCGTACAACTGTTTGAATTAAATATTCTTAAAATGTTTGAAAATTAGGTCATCATCTGAGCAATGCCTTATATTTTTATAAACATTTTATCTGAAAGGCCAGATAAGATCCTGGAGACACAAGTTCATACAAATTTTGAACTACACTTGAAGTAAAGTTGGATAAAGAATGCCCAACAGTAAGTACAAAGGTACATGAGTTATATTCTGTTAACTTTTGTTTCTATGTTTCTTGTTAAGTACATAGCTACACAATGGGCTATCTGTGATCTGCCCATCGCAAATATAGAAACCCGATTTTTTAGTGTTATAAGCCCTCAGACTTACTCACTGAGCTACCAGGGGCTTTTATTAACAATAAAACCTATTATTCGCAGCCGAAATGAACAGGTTTTACTGTTAAAGTGAAAGTTAATTTTGCTTTAAACACAGTGTTTTTCCAATACACCACACAATCAATGCCTGATTTCAACCGTGATACTTCATTTATAGGAAAGGTAGGTGTTTACATTCAGTGTTTACACTAAACAAAATTTAATTAATTCAATAAAAAATCTCACGGTAAAACAGATCCAGCTGCACTGTATCAACATAATGAAGTTAGTACTTCTTACTGGATTTCTATGATTTATTTGTTTGAACTTAAGCACAAAGCTAAACACAATGGGCTATCTGTGCTCTGCCCATCACGGGTATCGAAACCCAGTTTCTAGTGTTGTAAGTCCGCAGAAATACAGAAACAAGAGAAATATTTTTAAGACGCGAGTTTGATGCTAATATTTCACCAGAAGCGTATTTTCTGTCCCACCTCTCCGTCCACTTTCAGCATCATTTGAATACGTTGATTATGCTGATTTTTGGTGATCTGCTATTTAAAAAGTAATTATTACTTAAAATATTAAAAACATCACACACACAGTATTTCTGGCAAACAAAGAAGGTAATTATCGGTGGCATACCTTATTGTGAATTTTAAATTGTAGTTTGCATTATCATTCTACGATTATAAGAGCTTATGAGTGAAAGTAAACAAGAATGTAATAACATGTCAACCACACTATATCTGCTACATCCAATTCCCACAAGGCCTTTCGCCTAATGCAACGTCTGCCTACACAATCTTGTTTACGGTGGTGTTAAATTCAATTCTACAATATATATATATATATATATATATATATGTGTGTGTGTGTGTGTGTGTGCGTGTGTATTTTTACAGTAATTTTAAGCCTGGTGGTTAGGGCACTCGACTCATAATCTGGGAGTCACGAGTTCTAATCTCCGTCAACGAACATGCTCGTCCTTTCATCTGCAGAGGCGTTATAATGTGACGGTTATTCCCATTGTTCGTTGGTTAAAAGAGTAGCACAAGAATTGGCGGTGGGTGGTGTTGACTAGCTGCTTTGCCTCTAGTCTATCACTGCTAAATTAGGGACGGCTATTACAGATAGCCCTCGAGTAGTTTTGTGCGAAATTCAAAACAAACCAAACCAGTAATTTTATCTTCACAATTATTTGTATTCTATAGTAAACATCATAAAAACTTCCTGTTTCAAATCTGAATTAATTATGAACTACTATCAAACACTTAAAAGTTCATATTGTCTTCCATGTTACGTCAACTGCTTGGTTCTTACAGTTGTAAATTTGCGAAAAATATGCACTGGATTTTAAAGCTTATAATTAACTAAACTTATATGTTCTATAACACATAACAACTCATAGAAACAAATATTAGTCGAGACAATTGATTTACAGAATGTAATTTCCGAACTTATAATCAAACGGGAATAAAGGATTGTAGAGATAGCGTAATGTTGCGTAATTGAAAGTTAATTTATTTTTGTTCACCATATAATACAAACTTTAAGAAATGGAAATACCGCCTAAAGAACCTTTAATTTATGGTAAAATCTGTACCATCAATTTTCTTTGTTAAATATTTTTGGCTTAAAATAAAAAAATAGTAGATTCCAGTTCAGTGTAAATGATCTTACAATATTTTGTAAAAATAATAAAGTCCCTAATTTTTAAATCATAGTTTAAGAAAGATACAGTAAACTTTCTAGTTTCGAACAGACACGAGTTTTTAGCAAATATGCCACTGGACAATAGAAATTACGTATTTACATTTCACAGGTTATTTGTACTAACAAATAACAAGGCAATGTACGAAGAAATAACATTCTGTACGCTTACATTGAATATTCCACAACCTAGACGTACCGTACTCTCATTTTTGGAATTAAACATAACTTCTACTGCTTGGCAATAAAGCGACATCCGATCAGAATTTTTCTCTTTTATAACCTTAGAAATAAAACACACTTTTAAGTTATATTTCTAAAAAAAAAAACCTGGATAGAAGTGGAGGAGTGTGTACAAGATGGTGGCACAACAAGATTTTAAGATATTCATGTGTCCTAAGACGCACAGAAAGGTTGATTGAACTATAGCCTATCAACCCCATTCTGCGGAGAACAGATTTATCAACTGATTTATCTGATGTAAATAAGGAGTAAACCGTTTTTGACCTCAAGACCATTACGTCTGACCTATATATTACGAATACAAGAAGGGGCATAAGCGTTCGAGACAAAAGTCTTTTGGCTTCCTGTTTTTAACCAACAAACTAAACTTCATACCCGAAGCAAAAGGGGTCAGACAAAATTCAGGATTTTTATTCCTTCTCCACACTAACTATTTTGTACCTGATATTGTTCTTTCACACTCAATTGTGAGATGCCCCCTATCAAAAGATGCAAAAATTGGTACACTTTTCAGAGAAGATCTATAGCAATCAGCCTGCTTTCTTTGCTGATAAGCTGCACGAGAAAAAAACTGCGTGTATCGTGAATTGTGAGAGTTAAAACAAAAATCTTCGTCGTTTCGTTCGTTAACGCCAATCCTTACAGTACTTTTTAACTCTGTACATTTGTTGTTCTTTGTAAAACCTTACTAATGAAAACTCCTTTAACCGAAATTTGATTTTATGTATTATGTTGTTGTTGTTTTTGTTGTTGTTTGTTTTTTCACAAACAGTTAAAATGAATTTCGTACGGAAATATTCTGAGAACGGTTTTTAACGTATTTCATTCAGTTATCGAGAAAGATTTAAAATCAAATGAACGAACAAAATCTCACTCTGATAGTTATTATTTCATTATCAATAACCCTAACAAAACGCTTTCCAAATTAAAAGCTAAAATGTGTGTGTGTATAACACAATTATGTCTGTCTCTTGTTAAACACAAAACTACACAAGGAGAAATATGTGTTGTGCCCATGAATCGAACTCCGAATTTGGAATTTTAGCATTACAAGCCCTAAGGCTTACTGTTAAGCTACTAGATGGTAAATTAATTATGACGTAAATTTCTCTAATCTCTGTTGTTCGATATTTAATATCCAAGAAATTCAAAATAAAAAACAAGACATGGATGTCTTGATGATTTAAAATTTGTGTAAAAAATGTTCAAATCTATTATACCTTTAAGAGTTAGCAAAAACGTGTGTATCTA